TAAGCTTTGTTGATTTAATCGAAACAAAGCGGCCTTGAATTAGGGTGTTTATGCCAGCTATTGAGATCCACAGCATGACTCTGGTGGACTGAGGTTTGAGAAGAAAAGGCAAACTAGTTTTTTATAGCTAACTAAAACCACTCTGTAATATATGATGCTGCCTAGGATGGACCATAGTATTTCTTATAAAATCAGTGTCCATTAGCACTAACACTAAGGCTCTGTCCCCTTTAAAACAGAACTTCTGCTTTAACACTGATTCATCTTCAGGTCATCTCTTCTTTTTAGTAGCAATTGCCACCCCAGTTCCGCTCTGCTTTCCACCACCACCTCTTGTTTACAATAGAGGGTCTCTGCCTTCCCTCGACTACATCTGACGCCTTCCCATCACGCATTTTCATGTATCCTGACAGGTATGTTGCATGCATGGCAAAGCACAAAGGTGCATCTGCATTTCCCATTCAATGAGGGGTTCAAGGCTATTCTTGGGTCCAGGCTTGTCCTCTTCTGACTGGAGCTGAGCTCTAAGATTCTCTGGAAGGGAAAAGCCCAAGTAAGCTCTTTAACGTAACCCCCAGTGAGCTCTAGACAGATTGAGCATGAGAAAGCTCAAGTATGATCTTGCTTGGCTCTGGGACTGGCTTTTCTTAAGTACAGGCTGTATTCACAAAGCTAGAGCTGAGCTACAGTCAGACGCGGGAAGGCAGAGCAGGCCTGGTGCAGGATTTGCTGCACATTATCTTATGGGATAGGTAGAGCCAGAGCTCCACGCTGACTAAATCCAGAAACCTCAGTCCCTAGCAATCCAAGTAAAAATAATCATCTATGGGTTTTATCATGGAACCCTCCAGAGGCCTGGCTTGTTTTCATAACATTGGGCCTTGTCAGTCCTGGTCATGGGTAAATCCTCATCCGCTTACCAAAACACAAAGTGGGATACAGCCCGCACAAGGTGTCAGGGCACAGTTTACTCAATAACAAGAAGCCTACATTAATACACCTACATGAACTGCTCTGCTGTCAAATCAGTCAGTGAATAACTAGTCAGTGCAGCCAACGACACCTGGAGGGGGTTTTGGTTCACCCTGCAGGGGTCACGTACAACTGGCATCACACAGAGGTACCTAAAGTCACGCATCTTGGTCTCACGAGACTTACACTGTGAGTAGAATTCTCCTCTCCTCCATCAGTGCTTTAAAAAGGATAACTTTCAGGAACACTAGTTCAGAGAATTACAGTGTCAGAAAGGTGCAGAACCCAACCCAGCCTCTGGACATCCACCCCCATTCTGCCACTTCATTCCAGTCTACTTCCAAAAGGAGCAGAGAGGTTATTTCTCCTGTTTTCCTATTAAGTCAAAATATCCTCAGTGTTTGAACACAGCAGACAAACAGATGGAGCACAGGCCTGAACTGCATTCTTTGCCAGAACTGGGCAAGCATTTGTGATGCAGGATGAGGTCACCCTGCTCAGGAAGTGAGTATGGTAACACATTAGTTTTCCCCACTCGAACAACCATCTGCTGAAGGCAATAAACAGGTGAAGTACGTAGGACCTCCACTGTTCTAGAAAGTCAGATCTTCTTTCCCTGTATATGGGATCCACTTTTCCAGAAACGCATTTCAGACTGACCTATTTGCACTGCCAGAAAAGCAAGAACATCCTGTTTCATCAATGAAGAAGTAGCTCCTACTTCACCCCAGAGGAATAAAATCATTCATGGCACTGGCCAGCAAACCGAGATGTTCACCTTCTTGCTGCCCTCCCCTATTTTTGAGGGGAGCCGGATCAGAGGAGTACCTCCCTTCTCAGTGCCGTGCCAGGGTGATGTTTTCCTCGCTGAGATACCACCTCAGGGCCACGTGAAAGTCTCTGTGCAGCAAAGGAATGTGTCCCAGAGACCTTGCAGAAAAACATTTGGCATAGTCTAGGTCTCAATCAACTCCAGGATGAAAAAAGCACCACAAGTGAAACATCTTGCGATGCCTACGAATACCTAAATTCAAGTCCAATTAGAGAAGGAGGAGGGGAAAAGTAAAGAGCACTTTTTTTTTCCTCAGGCTCCAGAGCCAAGATCTGGGTGTTTTTGAAGTCATCCTACAAGGAAGAAAAGGCTGAAGCTTACTGTGACCTAAATAAAGTAAAAAAAACCTAGGTACTGCTGATCAAAGGGCTGAATGATGCATATACACATCTCTCTAAATAATAGAGTGGGTGGGGGAAATGACATGTCATTATTCCTCTGAAATAAAGTGAATTGCCTGTTCCGAACAGAGGAGTTAATCTGTTTTTATACAGCGAAGAATAATGCCACATTATTTCTTCTAAAATTAGCAGCTGACAAACTGAGACTCCAGGGCTCATGGCATCTGGCTCTCTGGCACCACACTGTACTTACCAGTACGAAGATTTCCTTTACCAGTTTTAGACATTTTGGTGGGGAACAGCCATTACCACAAAAGCCTACATCCACCGAGCTCCAAACAGCAGCACCTCAGAGTTTCTTGCTTCTTGCTAGAGAAGCAACGTGCAGACAGCCTGATAGGGACATGTCAGAAAAGCTGCAGAACGGATTCAAAGTCCTCTTTCAGTGGCTTAATCGTACAGGAAAGAACTTTCCGACCAGCTGAATCCTTCATTAGTTGTCTTCCCAACCAGATAATCTCATCCTAACACTTTGCATTTCAACAGCATCCAAGGCAGGCAGCGAAAGAGTGAATTCTGAAAGCTGAAGTCTGACTCATCTAGGTAGATGACTTTAATTTTCTCAAACTCTAAGGCTTCAGATACTGAATAACTGAGCATATAACCATAGTAATGCCTGAACAATTTCCCTTGGATATATTTTATCACATGAATGCATAGGAACTATGTAGAAATTTCTCCTCAAAACTGCTTTCCTGAGGATTTCCCCTCTGTTTGCTGTTCATGTTTGGTGACAGTATGAAGGGCTCAGCATTCATAAAGAAGCTCGGGAGACTGAAAGCCTGAGATGTCACTTCCATCAGACCTGGGAGACCAAAGTCACCCACTAGAGAATTTCCAGTTAAACACCATTTCAGTGCAGCACCCAAAATTTCCAGACTCTCTTCGACTGATGCAGGGCCATATTCATGTCCAAGTTATGTGCACAGAATCCCCTAGCAACCAATTCGAAAGGAAATAAAAGTTAAACTCTCCCCCACACATCTGAGGGAAGCGATCGGGTGATCTTTTTCCTTCTGTTTAAATACTAAAACTTCACTTGATTTTTTTTTTCCTTGACTGTGATGACACAAAGAATCACTGAAACCACTTATCACCATTTGACCCTTCCCATCACAGGTTTGTCCCAGGCAGCTTAAAGTCCATGACCTTTTATATTTGTACCTCTCAATCTAAATGATTCGACGATTCCTTCACATGAGTGAGGAACAAGAGCTTCCTCTGTGTTGGAAGAGCCAGGACAAGTCACATTGTCCTCTTTGTTTGCCGTCCTGACTGCCAGGCTCCACAGCAGCACACTGTTGGGTTGGGTTTTTTTCTTGGAAGGGGGGAAGTTTTGTCCTCTTGTCTACCCAAGAAAAGGTTTTGGTAATAGTTGAAGAGGTCCTTGGTTAAAAAGCAAGAACAACTTCTTGGAAGAAGTTATTTCCTCAAAAGAGGTTGACCTGTTCAGAAAGGCACATCAGCTAATGAGTGCTGGAATTGGAAGCTTGAGGGAGGTAAAGACACCAAAACCATGTCTTCTACTGCCCATCTCCATAGGCTCTTGCTCTGGATAAAGGCCGTGTGTCCGGGAGGAAGGGCATCCTCTCCACCTGATCTAACAGTGACTCCGTGGTAACACCCCAGAGTTGAGTACCAACTGGTGTGCAAGGAGTGCAAGGTCTCAGGAGCAAACCCCATCTTCTCGAGGCTTCAGCAGCCCTCAGAGAAACCAGCAGAGATGAGGCAGATTGAACTATGGAGGCTTCTGAGGCAGCATCTCCTTCAGAGAAGGCAAAGCTGTCCCAACACGCTGCTCAAGAAGCAGCATCCAGGCTACAGGCTTGCCTATACCCGAAGGCACTATTTCAGACAACAGATGACCAGAGTAAACTTGTGGTCTGGGAAAGCAGAACCCGAGTATCTAGCTCAGCATTTCTTCATTTCTGCTTTCTTAAAGGCAGACCTGGTAACTCAGCTGCAGAAACAAAGCTGGCTATGTTCATCCCTGTATCTTCCCCGACAGTAACTTATATTAAGACAGATTTCCTCACACACTTTTTGCAACCTGCTTAAATCTTCAAGTTCTGTATGAGAGCCTGAAGTTCCACACTATTTGCTGCAGGAAAGCCCACAACTATTGAACAGATTTTTTTTTTCTTCTACCTCCTTTGTAATAGCGCGTAAATTAAAATACCAGCAAGCGTGTAGCCTAAGGAAAAGGCACATCAGCACTCCCCTATTAACTACTCCAAGTATTTACTTATCAACAGGAAAGCCAAACAGCCAACAAACAGCTCCATGAGTACAGATAATATATCTGTCAGCAGAGAGAAAGCACAACAAAGTATGAAATCCTTCTTTTTCAGCACACGGAGCTAAACTGTAACTTCTCTTAAGATTCACCTACTGGAAGGGGACACAATTACACTGATCAAACATCTGAGGGCAATTTTCCATCACTTTACAAAGCACAGAATTAATAACTTCCTTGAGAAAGAAAAAAAAATTGAATAAAGCACTATTTTCATTATATTCATAATGATTTATTTGAAAATATGTTCTCATTAAACTTCTATCTAAGCACAGCCCATTGTAAAGCAGAAGTAGTTTGGTTCCACTTGAATTTAAAGCCATTATTATAATTATTCTCACCAGAACAACCATTAATCACACAAACAATACCCGGCTTGCAGAAAATATGTGATAAGTAGCTATAATATGATTTACTGTGATTTTTCTTACATTCTTTAACTCCTACTCAAATGCTTATTTTCAATGAAAATGTTTTTTGAAAAAAAAAAAAATCTTACCTTCAGATTGATGCGTGGCAAGAGGCGTCTGTGTCTCCTTGGAGTACGAGACCACTTCCCGAGGTAAGAAATCAACCTGGGTAATCTTGGACACCCCTAGTTTGTGCAGTCTGCGTCTAAGACGGAATACACGAGATCAAAAGGTTAGTCACGTTAAACAGAAATCAGCAGCACAAACAAGAGTGTTTGCTTTTATGAACACGATGGAAAAAGTACTCCAGTGTTTGCTAAGATGAAACGCAATACACTACGCGTGAGAAGGACCTAATTGCAGTGAAGAAAATTAACCTGGGAACCATTTGCCATAAAAAAAGTAGAGTTACCAAACCTCTAGCTCATGCTGCTGAGAGGGGCTCTCAATGGGAGAGAAAGGATCTGCTTGCACCCCTCGTCAAATGCAACAAAATTCTCCTTCATACCATCGTTACTACAGCGTTCTGCCTGCTCGGAGGAGTTAATCCTCAGCCTGAGAGAAACAATAATGGAAAGGGCAAAGTGGGTGTAAAATAGTCTAGATTAGGACTGTCAGATGTCCACCTGAGAGCGATAATCACAGAAAGGTTGGAAAAGCCCCTTGGGATCACCGAGCCCAACCACTAACCCTGCTCTGCAGAGCTCAGCCCTAACCCATCTCCCCCAGCCCCACATCTCAACGGCCTCCAAACACCTCCAGGGGTGGGGACTCACCCCCTCCCTGGGCAGCCTGTGCCAACATCTGACTGCTCTTGCTGGGAAAAATTTTTCCTGATGTCCAGTCTAATCAAGCCTTTAATGGGCAAGGTATGTAATCCCCAGGAAGATTCTCCTTTCCACAGCAGTCATTAGTAGTGGAATTGACGTAGATCAAGTGTTGGAGAGCACACAGCTGGCAAGTACAGCCTCCTTTTTCTACTACTTCACTTGTTTTAAAGAAACCATATGAAACAACTCAGTAAAATTGCAAGTGAGTAAGAGAAAAAGAAGAGAGAGCTGAAAATGGTCACAAACACTTTTAGTCATACATAGTTCACTCAAACTATGAGGAAAAATAAATTTCTCTCCTGAATATTATTTCGCTCTCTGCAGGGAGGGATGAATAAACAAAAGGTTACCTGCAAGTGTTTTACTGGAAAAAATGCCAACTTTCAGCAGAGAAAATAATACGAACATAATAAACAAATCAACTAAGTCGAGTTGCCTAAATCAAAAAGTTCAAGCACACTTATACGTTTATGGGAAATAAATTCATGGACATGATGTTTCTGAACCACTATGTCACTAGAGAGAGCAATTTGGAAAAGCAGAAAATTCATCCACATTATCCATATCCTCTCCATTTTCCAGATCGTCAGAACAAAGGTCAAAGGGGTTTTGATTTAATTCATTTACAAAGGTTTGAGTAATCAATTCAGATTGATGTCTGAAAGGAAATTGGAGTCTCAAAAGGAAATTATCATCACTGGATGACACCTACTGAACTCTTCAGCTGGTTAATGCTACATCAGCTACATGTATTTTTCTAATCTACCTTACTGGCCGAATTGTTATTGAGATGAATGCAATTAGATTCAACAGGTAATCAGTAGGAACCAGCTGGATCACGTAACAAACCACTAGAGCAGAAATAGTTGTTACAGCTCTTAGTCTTTCTTCTTTTTGAAGAGTAAAAATTAACCAGTCTCCCTCCCTACAACCATCCGTGACTTCGTCAACGTGAACAAAAGCTACAATTGCCTGAAAATCCTACAGAAAAACTTCTACACCATTACTGGGGGCAGAAAAACCTCTACAGCTTGTAATATACTTCAGTTAATAAAGGTTTTAGTAGAAATACATTTGGTAGCTGATTTAACTGAGGGTTTGTGTGAATTCAAGCTTAAACAAATACCCCAGCAAAATCTCACATGCTTTTCCCTCCCTGAGCACCAGCTGTGCCCTCTCCGTTACCTGCTTGGTCAGGAACATCTTCCCATCTCCTGCCACAGCCAGTCCCCTGCTGCCCTCATCTCCCACTTCCACTTACTAGGATACCTTCTGCACTGAAAGAGCTTCTTAAGAGTGGTCTTGGTTAAGTATACTACCTAATAATTATGTTAATTATGCCAATATGGGCCTAATTAGAACCTCCACTAATTCTAACAAAACAGTTTCACATGAGGTCACTCCGTATCTCCTTAACTGCCCAGGGAGGGGGAACATTCTTAATTGAAGGAACGTGGTCTCTCAGTTCTTTTTGGCCTCTGTCAAGCAATCTGTAACGGTTCTCGCGTAACTAAAAGTCAGTGCCAAGCACTTAAAGACAACTGGAGCATCCTTTCAGCATCTGGACTCAACCAAATACAGACTGCAATGTTCTACTCTCTAGTTCTTTCTAGGGCAGCACTAAACTGTCCATTGCCTTCCCATTTTTCATTTGAGTTGCTTGAAATTCTTATCATTTATAGTTTGTTGAATATTCAACTTAGAGAGCAATAAGCTTTGAAGAGTTCCTTCCAAAACTGCCTATGTAATATCAGTAGGATAGTGACTAAATCCCTGAACTAAAATCAACTCCTCTGTCTGCTGGTGCAGGAAGAAAGCAGTATATGCTAGAAGTGTTCTGCTGCACATACCATCTAATTCCTTACTACAGGATTTCTTCTGCACTGGTATTTTCTTTTATTAATCTAGTCTCATGACACTAGGGTAAAGTCTGGTCCTCTCTCTAACTCTGCACTGGTTTCTTTCAAAAGGGGCAGGATCTTCCTTACACTCTTTGGCACTGACCTGTCTTTGCACCGACCACTTGTAAAAGATGGAAGTTTTGTGGCTGTACACAGGGTTATCTTTCCACAAACCAATTAAAGAAACTTGCCTTGCACAACCATTTGAGGAACTTTGCTGCTGGGAGTGCTCATCCTTCAATCCAAATTTCCGGGAAAAGGCAGCTCAGATTTCTAAAAGGTTTCTGTATATTAAAACAACCTCAGAAAGCTCTACCTTTCTGGTACGGTCCAGGTAAAGTTGTAGAAACTCGATCTATTTGAATTATAATTTCCACACGCAGGTGGAAATTACATACATTCCTTGGAGTCCTGCACGTGGAGAAACCCTGTTTAGAAAGCTCTGGATACTTTTCACTCCTCCTGATCTTTCCTGGTAAGTAGCCCGAACATCCCTACCTGCAGCTGTGAGCACTGTCAATCAGCAATTAACGGGAAATTGTTGGTTTTCCTATGGAATGGTGAATGAATTTCACATGATCTAGTAAAAGCTTAAGACACTTGCCTGAAGATTTAGACAGGCAAGGCTCTAAGTTCACAGCTAGAGCAATTTCTTCAGCACGGAGATTTGGTTTTGCCTATGACTCAAGTTCTAGAGAACTTCAGGGACTGCTAACCTATACTTTTTAGAGGAACAGTTTATCCTAAATATCCCTGCAGGTAGGCATTCATAAATTATTTAAATTAAGTCATTTTTTTCAGATGCTTGGGGTAGAGAAATTTCATCCCAAACTAGAAAATACTAACTTTAGCTCTAGAACAATTTAAAAAGTGCTTGGTTGACCTGAACTCAACTACGATGGCAATTACTCTTGAGCTATGATCATATTTATTTAAGTGCACAATTACAAGCACATATGCAGCTCCTAAGGAGAAAAGGGAGATTGCTTCTGCACGTGGAGACAGCGTAGCTAAGGCAGACAGGAAGGAGGGGAAAAAGTACCTTGCAAACGATTCAGAGAGAAAAGTCTGAATCAACAGGTACAAACAAGACCAGTGTAACTGTACATGCACGTTTAAGTGCCACAATAATAACATTTCATCCGTAATGAAATAGTTATTTGTATTGTGTTTCAGGCAACAGAAATAGCAGCTTATCTTTTCACAAGCTTCTTTAAATAGTTGATTTTTTTTTTTCCACAAAGATGGCTTTGCTGAGGCTTCTCATTGATGAAACTAAGTAAAGGAAACTTAAATTACGGTCTTTCTGAGTCAACAAAGCAACTGAAAAATCACATCAAACCAGCTCAACTGGGAAGCATTTTCAACACAATTCTTGCAAAGAAATTATAAAGGAATAACAAAAAGAGCTGACATATACCCAAGTTCAGAGTCAGACTGGAGCTGCAGCACTGAGGGGTCTGTGTCCCATTGCAAGGTCCTAGGGTGGTAATCAGCCGTGCAGCACAAAGGGGGAGGGAGGGAAAAAAAGAACACACAGAATTAACTGAAAGGATGAACAACCCCCCATCTCATTAGTTACATGCTCTATGTAGTACATTCAACCTCCAAGAGCGAGGGACAGCCACAATATGTCAAACAAGGTTTGCACATCAAACTGTGACAAGGCAAGCAACTTATTAAAATTACATATTAGTGGTAAACAAAAGGAAGAAGCTGGGTTTCCTTACAGATATGTTAATGAAGCTTTTTTTTTTCTTCTTCTGAAATACTTCTAACTCTTTAACTGCAATTTACTGTGATGATGATGAGGTGGGCTGAGCACTTGCCACGAGCTCGCTGAGGGGTCTGGCCCTTCGCACACCCCCACGACTGACGCCGAGCGGTGCAACTTGCCATGTTACCATTGCTAAAACACTTTGCAAATGCACTCAGAGCGTTGAAGTTGTCCTGCGAAATACTTACAATCCCCCCAGCTTAGGAATGCACAAAACTGACATATTGAGGCCAGCATATTCAAAAGTGCCCACTCACTCCTTGGCTCTCGGTTTTATTTTGGTTTTCTTCCCTCAGGAAGCCTCATCTCACAAGAATCCATGACAGAATCAGGAATACAAGTCTGACTCCTGATCGCTTTTTTTCTGTAGCAGGAACACTAAGCTGCGCATTGCTGTCACCAGCAGAGGCTAAAGCAAAGTCCTCAGAATTAAAAACTCGCCGCATTTCTTCTGAATACAAATTTTGAGGATAAAGAGAACATAATACTACGAGGTTCAGCCCAACCCAGCCATATAACCAGCCATGCTGGATTTACACAAGCCTTTCTGTAACAACTGCAAGCTCTGCCAATGAATCACTCATAAAATTGAATTAGATCAGAAATAGATGTCTCAAAGCCATACAATTACACCACCTCCTGCACTTAGTATACTCACTCCTTCTATTACCAATATTAACTCCCTCTCAAGAGAGAC